GAAGTCAGGCTGGCGCGGCGCTTTTTCCCTCGAGCGGAGGCTGAGATCCCGAAGCCTCGCAGGACTTTTCCGTAGGAAACACCGCCCTGGCTCTCCGGGTGCCAGCCGGGCCTGGGCAGCACTTCCCCAAGCATCAATGACCTACTGTTCGAGCGCGGGATCGATGGGCCGCCTTGTGACGTCTTCTAAATGCCTTGCTGCGGGGTCCGGCGTTTGTACGCTAGTGAAGCAGAGATTAAGATGCTCCAGCTGTAAAATATCCCCGGATCCCACACAGAAATAACGCCGCCATCCCCGTTTCCTCCACATGGGTGGGTTTGCAAGGGCTAAGGATTCCCTGTGGCAAGCCTCTTGGTGTTTTCTTACCTGATTAGCTAATGCAATTAACACCTTTGCAGGGAAAGGATCTTTGTTAAGGAGAAGACGTACCCCTGAGCACGGTTCAGGAAGGTTCAAGGCTCTTCACTGCTATTTCACAAGCAAGCCCTGCCCTGGACGACTTTACTGGTGGGAGAAGGGAGTCGTGGTACCCAAATGTCAGGTACCAGTTTCTTTCACAAGCACATCGTGATATATTCTATTCATATTAGTTGTATTTCTTTACAGGACATGCAGCGAGGGGATGTTTATTCTGATGAAAGTGTAGGCTTGATAACAGGAAACCAAGTCCTTTGTGCAGTAAATTGACCTTGAATCACACACAGACCTTTTTTTTTTTCAGTAACAGAGGCTAAGACTGTCTAAAACACAGGAAAATGGTGTCTCTAGAAAACAAAGTGGCATTTTGAGTTGGCTAGAATGTACCCAAGCCTTTGCCAGCCTCAGAACCGTGAATGTCAGCCCGAGCAGGTGGTAGAGATGCAGCCGCGGGTGGGGGACTTGTCAGGAGAGCCAGGGGACAGTTGCTTTTTGTCCCCGAATACTTTGTCTTCAAAGTTCAGGCAAACTGGTTACATGGAAGCTGCGTGTCCCCAGGGGTGAGGCACAGCGCCGCGATACGGGAAGACCCCTCT